CTCTACCACTTGAGCCACAGCGCCACTTCCGGCTTTTTTCTTTTTGCTTATGTGGTGCTGAGGAATCGAACCCAGGGCCTCATGCATGCAAGGCAAGCACTCTACCACTGAGCCACCTTCCCAGCCCCTTTCCCTGTCTTTTTAATTCCTTTTCTATTTGTTGAAGGAATCACACCAAATAGCATCACATCAAATAATCTAACATTCTAAATATGAAACAAAAGATTACTATCATACAATGGCTTAGAAACCTCTAATAAGTTGGCAGATTTTTATTCCTAGGACAAAAATCTTAGGTTGGAAACACTTTGATTTAATTTTTTCTTTCTAAGAAAATAGTAATTTTTATTTTATTTTATTTTTTTGTCGGTCATGGGACCTGAACTTTGGGCCTGGGTGCTGTCCCTCAGCTCTTCAGCTCAAGGCTAGTGCTCTACCACTTGAGCCACAGTGCCACTTCTGGCTTTTTCTGCTTATGTGGTGTTGAGGAATCAAACCCAGGGCCTCATGCATGCAAGGCAAGCACTCTACCACTGAGCCACCTTCCCAACCCATAATTTATTAACAACTCTTGTGTTTTTATTTTATTTTTAATCCAATTTAATTTTATTATAAAGGTGATATACAGAGGGCTTTACCATTATGTAAGTAATAAGTACATTTCTTGTTGAACATTGTTAGCCCCTCCTTCATTTTTCTCCCACTTTTCCTCCCCCCCACTCTCTCCCTAAGTTTTAAAGTTCATTTCTAACGTAATGTCTTGTGAGTATTGATTTTTCATTGGTTCACTCTTTGTCCTTTGTCTCACCATTTTATTATTCCATTCCCTTCCACAAATCAGATTAATGTATATACAAGACACAGGCTTCAAAAAAAGTCTGTGATAACAGGAGAAAACTTTTTTTTTAATTAGTCATGGAGCTTGAACTCCAACTTTTTAAAAATTGGTCATGGAGCTTGAACTCCAGGCCTGGGCGCTGTCCCTGAACAACTCTGCTTAAAGCTAGTGATTTACCACTTTAGCCACAGTGCAACTTCGGGTTCTGGTGGTTAATTGGAGATAAGACTTTCCTGCCTGGGCTGGCTTTTAATTGCAATTGTCAGATCTCAGCCTCCTAAGTGCAGGTGTGAGCTACCAGCACCCAGAACTTTGATTTAATTTTGAAGCTTGAGGTTTATCTTCTGGACATTGAAGTGTGAGCAGCACCAGAGAGGGGAGGTTTGTCCACATGGAAGGACAGGAAACATGAAGGAGGTTGTCATCATGAACTAGAGCAGGTTCTCAGGGCAAAAAGATGCCCATAGGTAGAGCCAACAACAACTCAGAGCATAATATTAGAGCTAAAGCTGGGCAACGAGGTTGCACAGAGGTTGGTAGGGCCTCCTAAGTAGTTGGATCCAATGGGACAGAGGAACAGCCCTGTGAAGAATAGCTGCAGGGAGGTCCCCATTCAGGCTAGACCAAAGCACAGTGAATAAGTTGTTCATGGGACTAGCTGGTAGAGAGGAAAGGTTCAGAGAAAAGAAGGCAGGCAATATCAATCATACGCATACTGTCTGATAGGGTTTGGGGCATGAGAAGCAGAAAAGTACCCAGGCAGGAAGCAAAGAAAGGGATAACCCAGTGCCCCAGCGTGAGCATCAGAGTCAGAGCAAAGTAAGAAGGATATGGCATGGGCAAGCTTCAACAGAGCATCACAGTGTGAATACCAGTGCAAGAAAGAGCCCTGGTGGAGAGGAGGGCAGCAGTGGTAAGGGAAACCTGGTTACACATGGGAGATTTATTAAGTAACTAAAGATATTGAGAATAATGGGAGACAATAACAGAGAAGGAATTCACAATCATAGAAAGGGAGAAACCTATGGCATTGGATTAAAACTATAATATTGGTATATATTCATGGTTTCTAGTAGCAACAAAGACCGAGAAATAAATATAAATTATAATGAATGAATCCTTAATTTAGACATTTTTAAAGGAAAAATACTTTTTTCTGGTCCTAGGGCTTGAACTCAGGGTCTGGGGCTATCTTCAAGCTTCTTTTGCTCAATGGTAGCATTCTACCACTTGAGCCACAATGTCACACTTTTGACTTTTTCTGAGTAGTCTATTGGGAATAAGTGTCCAGGATCTCTTTAAACCACAATCTTCAGATCTCAGCTAGGGATTACAGGCATGAGCCACCAGTGCCTGACTGAATATTTTTTTGGGGGGAAAATGCTGCACTGATCATAAAAATCCTCACCATGTATAAAATTTCTGGAAAAAAATGATAATTGAAATTCACTTCCCTTCATCTCTTGCTAAACATCATTTTAATGCGCACTCTCTATGTTGTTAAAGAATCAGACACTAGGTAGTGTCACATGAAATGTAAATAGAATAAATATTTTGCAAGAAATGTTGTAAAAGGGAAGGTGGCTCAGTGGTAGAGTGCTTGCCTTGCATGCCTGAGGCCCTGGGATCGATTTCTCAGCACCACATAAGCAAAAAGAAAAAAGCCGGAAGTGGTGCTGTGGCTCAAGTGGTAGAGCGCTAACCTTGAACTGAAGAGCTGAGGGACAGTGCCCAGACCCAGAGTTCAGGCCCCACGACCGGACCCCCCCCCAAAAAAAAGAAATGTTGTAAAAATCAAATAAATATGCCATCAAGATCAATAAAAATCTAAATGGGTCTGCCTGCAATTGCTGCTTTTCTAATAAACATTCGTGATTCAACTTCTCAAAAAAAAAAAAGTCCAAATGGCACAAAATGGAAATGAAGTTTTCAGAAGCTAGTCAAATGCTCAAAAATCATTCTTAATATTGAGAAACTAAAGATGTGGCTGTCAAAAAAATTAAACAAGTACAAAAACTACTAGGATTTTAATGTGGAGATAACAACAAAGGCTATATCAACAATGTGATTTATTACTAAGTCTGTAGTCAAAATCAAAGGTTTTCTCTGGAAGTCAAAACTTTCATTGTTCCCATAGCAACATACCTGGAGGAGAAGCCTTTCAAATGCCAAAAAGTTGTCCCATTTGGCAGACTGTGGGTGCTTCAATGTTTGAACTGTAGCCAGCCCCAGCTGTAGGATCCCACAATGATTCACTAGAGCTTTCAGGTTGTTCTTGAAGAGTTGAATATAGGATGTGAGCTGCCCTGGCGTGACTCTCCCTAGAGAAACATAACAATTTATCAGTTGTACACTTTCTGGGAGTTGTGAAAATCATGAAAAGGATGTTGTGAAAGATTACACTGTCATGTGTGCACAAAACTTAAGCGTTAACCAACCTTTCCTAAGCTGCTGTGATCTGACCAACAACAGTGAAGTCCATACTGCACTTGCATTTTATAAGTAAGGAAGATGTTGTAGGACCTAGCCAAGGATATATTACTAGTAGAATTTATTTTATAATCTTCATTTGTGTACCATTACTGGGACTTGAACTCAGGGCCTGGGTACTGTCCCTGAGCTTTTTGGCTCAAGGCTAGTGCTCAACCACTTGAGCCACAACTCCATTTCCAGCTTTTGGGTGGCTAATTGAAAATAACAGTCTCACGAACTTTCCTGTCCAGGTTGGCTCTGAACTACAATCCTTAGATCTCAGTATCCTGAGTAAATAGAATTATAGGTGTGAGCTACTGACATCTAGTGAGAATTCATTTTAAAATTTTATAATACTCCATAACCAACTTGTCAAATTAAATCAAATGACAGAAATTAGGCAAGATTGCGTATGTGTATATAAAATAAGGAGAGAACTTTGTTATGATTTATAGATAAAACTTTATCCTTGATTATCAATGAGCCCATAACAATATGTATAAGTATCAAAGCCTATTACTGCATAAACCAAAAACATATGGAGAATAGGGTGACAAAAGCATTGAAAGATGAGACCTCAGAAGAAAGCATTTAATGTGACACATAGAACATTTGCTATAATGGTCATCTAAATTTAGAACAAAAGAGTACACACTTCAAGGATACACGCACGCACACACACACACACCAACATGTGAACATACAATTTGTTGATTCACTCTTCCAGAGCCTAGATCTCCAACTTTTGCCTATAGCAGCACTTTATGACTCACATCCTACTCTCCAACTATTGAATTCCATTGCTGACATCCATCAGTGCTTTGCATAAACTCAGACATCTGATTCTCCTCATCAAGCAAAAAGAAGACAATAGGGAAAGCATACCTATATCTTTCATAAACCATTCCTAAAAGCTGGAAGTGGCGCTGTGGCTCAAGTGGTAGAGCGCTAGCCTTGAGCTGAAGAGTTGAGGGACAGCGCCCAGGCCCAGAGTTCAGGCCCCACGACCGGACCCAAAAAATAAATAAATAAATAAATCATTCCTATACATCTACCCATGCCATATTTGTAGACTTTTTGCCAAATATTTTATTCTCACAATACTATTTTTAATTTCTTAGAGATTTTTAAATAGTAGTTTTTTGGGGGGGTGGAGTTGTTCCTGTTTATGTGGTACTGAGGAATTGAACCTAGGGTTTCATGCATACTAGGCAAGCACTCTACCACTAAGCCACATTCCCAGCCCCTATATAGTTTTAATGAATATTACTTGCCTTCAACTTGAAAAAGTTTATAAACTATAAATTGTACAATTCAGTTAGTTTTGGTATAGTTATGTAGTTTGCAATCATCAGCAGTCCATAATTTCAGAATATTTCACCACTCCTAAAAGAAATTCCATACCCAAATATAAAGGAACCATACATACTAGAATATAACCTGAACAAAATTTGCAGCTTGGAGACCTAACTGTACTTCATTATACAGTCAACAGAGAAGTTTTAATAAAAATGAGACTATTCAAGAAATTAGAGTAAAACTATATAATAAAACTATCATCGTGTATATTTTTTATTTTTAGGTCCAGTCGTGGGGCCTGAACCCTGGGCCTGGGAGCTGTCCCTCAGCTCAAAGCTCAAAGCTAGCGCTCTACCTCTTGAGCCACAGTGCCACTTCTGGCTTTTTTCTTTTTGCTATGTGGTGCTGAGGAATCGAACCCAGGGCCTCATGCATGCAAGTCAAGCGCTCTACCACTGAGCCACCTTCCCAGCCCATCGTGTATATTTTTTAATTTAATGAAATATGAATGTTCACGGAAGACAAAAGAAAGAATATTAACTGATGAAGCAAAAAACTGGTTAAAACCTTTCTCCAACCTCCAGAAAGGCTTTAGGAAAACATGTGTCTAGAACACAATTGACTCCAGACTCAGAAGCCTTGGGTATAATGGACGTAGAAAATTAAGAATGTGGTGTATACACAGTGAAACACCCAATCCTTAAGACCCAATTTCACATATGTGTCTCTCCATGTAATCACCTCCCAAGTCAATGTCTATCATTCTAGAAGACTCTATTGTATGCTTATCCAGTCAACATCCCCACAGGGTCAACCATTACTTTGAGCCCTGGCTCATCTTTTTTGTATACTTTTTGAACTACAGTTAATTGGAATCCTACACACTTACTAAGTTTGTATCTCTCTTCGTTTGCTTGACAGTAACCATAACTCTTAATCTATTTATGTCATTCTATTTTATTGTTCTGTATAACTAAAATTTTCTTTTTTTTTTTTGGCTGGTCTTGGGGCTTGAACTCTGGGCCTAGGCACCGTCCCTGAGCTTTTACCCTCAAAGCTAGCACTCTACCACTTAAACCATATTTCCACTTCAGGCTCTGTTGGTAGTTAATTGGATAAAGTCTCATACACTTTCCTGCTCAGACTAGCTTTGAGAGGTGATCCTCAAATCTCAACATCTTGAATAGCTTAGGATTATAGGCATGAGCCACCAGTGTTCACCTTACAAAAAGTTTTTTTTAATCCATTCTTCTACTCAAGCACATTTTATAATTTGAGGCCATTACAAATAATGACACTATGAACATTGTAATATATGCCTTTTGGTATACATATATACTCATTTACATTGGACCTATGCCCAGGTTGTAGGTGAGTGAGTTTTAGATACTGTCCAATTGTTTCCCATGATTATACCAACATCCTCATATACTTCAAATCTGATTTAACTTAATGTATTGTTTAATAACCATAATGTTTAAAATGAAGTACTGTATCAATAAGTTTTCTTCATGGTATTTTATGCTGAGTAGTCAAAACTCTAGTAAGAGAAAAAACATTCAGAATGAAAAACACATTATCATGCTATCTATTATACATGCAAATTTTAGTTTCTCATTTTTCATCTGTATATTTACTTTCTTACCTAATTACATATAAAAATGCTTGGAAGGCAAGATATTAATTTAAGAAACTATTTTCAAAAGCAGAATGGTAGAAGCATGGGAGCAAAGTATATTTGCTTTTTATTTTACATATTTTGTCATTTGGATTTTCTATAAGCTTGTGCTAGTAATATTAATTAAATATTCTCTTAGTTCTGAAACAAAGATCTGTTTCATGTGGAATAGACAGATGTTTACTTTTCTCTGAGAAATTTGACTTTATTACTATCACTGATTTGTACAATGGGTAAAGAAACAGAAGAGTAATAGTAACTGCCTATTTCCCACCTCAATTGAGGTCAAAGGGCATAGAAATACGGTTCATGTGCAGATGGAGAGATTTAAGTCAGACATGAGAAAAGCATTTCCTGATCAAGATGACTATTAGACACTGAAACATGTTATTAATAGGGAAAGAGAGAAGAAAATATAAACTTTCTCCCACAAGGATTTGAAGGGCAATATATACAGCCATCTGTATAGTGAAACTTGGATAAAGCCCAGCTGTGAATGGACATCTATTTTATAACACCATAAATACTAAAGAAGGTTAACTGGGAGACTCTTTAAATCCTATGTGTTTCTTATTACACAAATTTTTGATCTCTACAGCATTATAATAATTGCAGAAAAGAAACGTGTAAAAAAGAGTACCTTAATTATGCAAACCAATTCAATTCAATGGATCTAAAATTCAAGAATCTGCTGTAAGATCGACTTCTAGTCTAATACAGAATAAAGTATAACTGCCTCAGGATTCAAGGGTCACAAATAGAAAATAAACATCTCTCCCCAAAGTTATACCAAACAGTGAAATATAAAACCACCAGGAACATTTATGGTTTGGCTTGCTATGGAAATGCAGCCTTCCTGAGGCTAACTTAAACACTGTCTCCACATTTATAAACTCAGCAGAGAGCATGCAGAACAAGGCTATCCAGGGACACAACACCAGGCATATTTCCTTCAAGGCCCACTCTAACTTGAAAAGAAATTTCTGCTCTTAAAACAACCTCTAAACTTAATTTTTTTAATCCTACCCTAAAACCATAGGCCTTATTGTCATATCATGCTGTCATGATTTTTTATTCCAGTTAATATTTTCATTCAAGACCACTTATGTAGCCAAAGCATAAAAAGATTCAGAAGAAGATGGCCTATAAGTGCCTAATGTTTGTCTTCCTTCCTGCCTCTGAAAAAGAATCACCACAATAAACAACTACATTTTGAAGAAAGACTAAAGGACAGCACTGAAATATGGCACAACAAGGAAGTGGTACAAAGAAAGGAAGGAAAAATCTTGTTCTGCTATAGTAACATGGCCTGTGAGACCCAGGAAGGACTTTTCCCTGCGCAGAAAGTGCTCCATGGCTCCCAACACTGCTGCAGACACCTACAGTTTTTATTTTTCAAGAAATCTAAATTCTTCACAAGCTTTAAGCTCAGATTATGGAAATGCCTGGAGCTTTGTGTAGTGGAGTTCACATTACACTACTCCAGAAAAGTAGCTCACAATGTGTGCTCAAACTGTTCCTGTGTTGCGGCACTTTGAAACAAGAGCCACCACTCTTCAAGTAGTAGTGTCTGCCTAACAAGTGCAACACTAGGAGTTCAAACCCCAACATCACCAAAGAAAGAACTGACTGCTACAATGCATCTTGCCCCAGCGACTCTTAGTCAATGTATCCTTTGATCCCAGAGACTCAGTGGTCATTGAACCCATTGAAGTATAGTTGCATAAATAAGAATGCATCATTCCCTAGCTAAGGTGCTGCAGCTCCTTCACCCCTGGGAACAAGCTGCATAAGAGGCACCCGATTAATCTCCATCTTCGTTGTTGTTTATTCTTCCTCCCAGTTCCTCAGAGCCTAGACCATGTAGTAAAT